TGAATGGTTCTTTATCCTGGGGCCTCTGGGTGGACACCATCTGGTCTGTTCAGAAAAGGTCTCCTTATGTTACAGAGACAGCTCCCACTTCTGAACTTTTCTTTTTGTTGCTGATGTGCCTGTTAGAGACAGTTGCTAAATCATAATCCATGAACACTGAGTAGACCAGACTTTTCTATGAGTGTTGGTCATTAATGATGCAATTTGGTTAAAAAAAAAACACAATAACTTTGCCCAAAATGTAAGATGCGATGTAACTTGAAGATGCACACTTTCACCAAATGGGATTCGTAAACTATTAGCTTTTGGGTGATACTGACAAAATACCAATCAGATTTCTCCATAATTTAAGATTAGAATCCTGAATGTCTGTAGGACACCATATTGGACTCCATGCTTTGGTTTCACCTTGGTGATCAAATGAAATCAAGATGGTTGTTTGTTGCTTATTCAGTTGGTTCTTTCACAGTGGTCCGTTTTGCCAGTTGTGACTAGTAAAACCCAATTCAGTTTCCTTCTACTTCTTCTTCTCTAATTTCTACTGCTTATACATTCACCTATGGAACATTACAGATTTCTCTCTCCTGGCCATTAAAATACTGCAATTTATCCTGGTTCCATAATGAGCTAACCAGGTTACATATCTTACCCCATACACTAGGACCTATTCACTAGAAAATTTCTCTGCAAGACCCAAATATTTTAGACAGCAAGTTTTGATCAAAGTAGGTCTGCTATGGGCTGGTTGGTTTATGATGGATCCTAAACACCATATAGGACAGCACTCCTGACAGAGGTTCTTCCTGCTGTGTGAAGAACACCTGATCCCTCTGGGGTCCTTACTGCCTTTCATCTCCCAGTCTTAGGAATCCTTCCCAGATGTCTCTCAACAGCTCACAGATTCCCTGGGGCATCTACTGGCAGCATTATCTCTCGTTTACAGCTGAAGAGACAGAAGCCTTTAAGAATCCAGGTGACTCAACTTACTAAAGCCATGGACAATTTGTATAGGAAGAATTCCTATAATGTTATCTGTTCAGTAGGATTGTTAAGAAATTCTTTTGCTTTGCTTCGTTTGACTCTGTGGAAGGTTGTGGAATTAAGTCCAAGGGGATGGGAGAGGTCAGCTGGTGGGAGGAAGAGGCTACTTAGCTCAGACACCAGTGGCAAACATATGAGAAAATGCACTATATCAACAGCGCCCGGACACAGACACAGCAGGTGACATCCACCTGTGGGTAGCATTGCTCTGCCCACCTGTGTGCACCCAGTCTACAGAGAACCCATGTGTCACCATATGTGTGTGGCTGGAGTCCAGCCAACCTCCTTCCAGATGGAACCTTGTCATGCACCCAGGTCATCTGAATGGCGTGAGCACCCTGTCCATGGTGCTACACAGAAGGAAGGAGAGCTGTGCAGTATAGGCTGTGGCTAAGCTCACCCACTGTGGTATTCCTGCTCCTGATGACTGGAGGAGCTCCAATTTCTCCAGGCCTCAGAGAAGGCAAAGCCAGTAACATCACCTCTGAAAAAGGGGGCCCACCAACGTGTTTTGACGCTCTTCCAGCCACAGGCTCACGCTGGAACCAAGGGAGTGCAGAACATCTCTGCTTTTTATTTTATCACATTTGTACAGAAATAAAGTGAGGTGGCACTGGCAAAAATCAAACCCCTTTCTTTATTCTTTCCCTCTTTTAACACCTCTCTCCTTAACCTTCCCCATTGCTTTTCCTGACTCCCAATCCTTTTACCACCAAGGATGGGGTGGGAGCTTTGAACTGGTCTCCACTAATGACCTCCCAAGCTAGGAGCTCAGAACACACAGCACCTCCACAACAGGCTTTTCGTAAGTATACAATAGGTGTTCTTCAATAGGATCCCTGGGAGCTTCCTATCCAGGGAAGCATGAAAAAAAAAATCTGGTTTGCTTCCTATGGAGTATTCTTACTCATATCTCATTATTTAGAAATACATTGACCAAGATTTTCTTCCTCTACATTGTTTAGTCAACATTAATATACTCCACTTACTGTAGTTTCACTTACTATCTTGCATAAATGAAATTTGGGGGTTTATTTTAGAAAAGGTATTTTAGTCAACTGAAATAAATTTCCACAGTGGACAAAGGAGCACATTTGTGAATAACTATTATATTTATGATCATGAAGGTGGAGCTTAGGTGTACTAATGCTCTGTGATTATGCCCAAGAACAATAGTGACAGATGACAGATGTCACCAGGCAGGTCGAGACTCGCTGTACGTGACCAAAGCCCAGATTTTTAAGAAAACTTCTTATGCCATAGAACACGCACACTAACCTGCAGTTTTTGGGTGGTGGGTGTTTTAATGTTTGGTGTAACTCAAAGGGAATATTTAAAAAGCCTCCATCTGATCGTTGCTGGAGGGGGAGAACGGCAGCTGTCAGCCCACCGATTTCAGTTTTACTTTATTTTGTTCAAAGTTTTCAGGATGTCATGAATACTGCTTTGTCCCTGCACACTTTCATACTGTGCCTGCCGTGAGCTTTTTTTTTTTTTTTTTGTCTTATTTTCCAAACTTAAGTGATAAAGGTGACTGGCAATTTGTTCCAGAGGCAACTCACCTGTGAACTGATTTGCTTGAATTGCTGATACCGTGTCCCAAACTGTAGGATTGCTAAATAAAAGTGGTGTTCCTCCGTCCCCACAGATTCTTTCTGTAAGAGGTTTCTCCTTCATTGTTGCTTTGAGTCTGTGAGGTCCTCACAAAGGGAGGAATAGTCAATGTACCCGCCAGCTGAGCCTTTTACTGAACCCTCCCCCACTCAAAACTCCCGGCTGAGAATCTGCTGGGGATGGAACCTAGAGCCTTGCCTCTACCACCCAGCTACACCCCCAGCCCTGAAAATAGATGATCTCTTTCCTCAAGTTTTCCTTCCAAGTTCTTCAGGGGGCCCTGCCCACCCTCATCCCAGCTAGTCTTTGGAATCCTTTTGCTGCATAGATTTCTGAAATCTCTTTGTCAGACAGATGTGGTTAGAAGATTTAGTGGGTCTCAGGAAAAAAGTAGCAAACGCATAAATGAAGGGAATGTACAATTTTTATGCTTAGCACAGCTCTTAATCAAATGTTTCAAACACAGAAAAACAACTCAAAATATTCACTGGTGAGCGTCAGAATTGTTCTTCAGAGGGGCTGAGTGACATATAATGGAAAACATGGCAATTACCTGTTATTAAATTTAATACCCCAAACAGATGGTGTTCCACTCACCCCACGAACAGATTGCTCACCTGATTGGAAACTTCTTTCAGAGCCCTTAGTCCAAACTCAGTTGCTTAACTTTTTTTTTTTTTTTTGCATTCCTAGATGAATTGGTTTCTTCCCTGCCTTATTTTGGAAATCTGACCATCAAATCACTTCTACTTTCTTCTAGTTGATTCTTAATGAACAAAAAACTACTCAGTTTGAGAAACTGCTGTTAGTTACCCTAAACCCCAAATTGCAGGGAAGTGAAGGCTTGCTGAACAAAAGCGCTGTCCTACAGCCACTGGTGAACAGGATAGATTTTCCGGGTGACTTAACTAGATGTCTCTGAAAGACCATGGTCTTCATTCTAACCCACCTTACAGCACATTTCTTAAGGACCCCCAAAGGAGCTTTCAGAACCAGGAAGCTGTTTACAAGACCACACCCTCCAACTGCCAGAAGGACGGATATGAGAAGTTTAGATGCGACTATAAAAATCCACAGCTCCATTGGTGGTGGTTTTCTTTTTCTTAATTAAAAAAAAATAAAGGTAGCTTTTAAGAACTCCTCAGCAACTCTATTTTAAATCCTTGTTGGGACCATGCAGTGCAGAAGTAAGTCCACTCTACTTTGACTTTGAAAATACTTTATTTGAATAGTAAATATTTATACAGTTGAAACAGTTCTATTGAAGCTTTCTATAAATAGCTAACAATTAAGAAAATAATGTATGTAGAAAAGAGATTGCATTTAAAAGTAAGAGCTGTCGGTTGTACAAGGGCCTCAGGGGCCCTCCAAGCAGAATAAAGTGGTAGGTTGTCTGTAATTCCCTCAGCTAGGTATAAAAGTTAAAACTTTTAGCAGATCCCTTTAGAAAAAAAGGCTCTCTTCTAAAATGCACAGTGAAATGTCAAGAGTGGCAGGGGGAAAAGCGCACCAAAACAAAACAAAAAAGAATCTGCAATCAAATAATACCATAATCTTCATAATTAATATAAATAAATAAAGAATAAATAACAATTACTCATAAATCAACATATACATTTAGAGGGAGCTCATGTAGTCCTACCTCAACAAAGATGATCAAACCATAAAGTCTTGCGTGAAATATTGAGGCAGTTACTACGGCATCTTGTGAAAATTCCCTTCCCCCCCCAAAAAAAAAGCCATTCCCAAACAGACAACAGTTCAAGGCATTTGTGGCTATACTAAAGAAAACTCTTTTTAAGCAATTTGATTTGTTCACATACAAAAAGGTAAAGCCAGACTCCAGCAGTTCACAAGCCATAATAAAGCTAATAGTGTGGGTAGTTCAATTTACAGCCTGTGAAACATAAAGGCATTTATTCCTCAAGATTCACCCCAACAACCCGTACGCTACAGACAGAGCAGAGACTGATAGGCGAGAGCAAACCGCACTTCTAGACCATGAACACAGCGAATACTAGCAAGAAAAACAGCTTCGCCCCTCCAAGGGGAGGCTTCCAATCACGAGACAAACGGGTACAGCTTTTCTCCCTTGTACAGAAAGATTGACTCCTGTTGCGCCATGGGGAGAGGGGACACAACGCAAAAGGGGAGGGGTCCAGGAGGAGTCACAATGAGAGGAGCGGGGTTACCATCACACCACACCGAGAGAAGCGAAGACGACACTTTTACCCCGGGGTGGGGGCGCCCCCAGCGCAGACGCGGGTGTGGGCGTGCAGGGCGCGCTCTCTTTGTGGGTCTCCAAACGAAGGCACAGTTCTGGGGGCCGGGGTGGAGGGCGCGCTCTAGCAGGCCGGACGCACGGGCACCTGCAGGAGGATCACCTGTCTGTTCTCGGACGGGTGGCACTTGTTGATGTGCCGCGTAAGGCCCGGCGAGCTGTAGAAGGTGGCCGGGCAGTACTTGCAGGGGAACACCTGGGCGGCGTGCAGCAGGCGCAGGTGGCGCTCCTGGGCGCCCTTACTGGGGAACGTCTCCCCGCACACTGGGCACAGGTGGCACTCGGCGGACGCACTCAGGCCCAGCACCTCGGCCGCCTCGCCGTCGCCGGCCGCTTCCTGGGGCGCCTTGTCGTCGGGCCCCGCGTACAAGGCCAGTAGGTCCTCGGCCGGGGGCGCTGGCTGAGCGCCCTTGGCCTGCAGCGCTTGATGGTGTGCCAGCAGGTGCTTGCGCAGATAGGCCTGGCGGCGGAACTTCTTGGCGCAGTGGTGGCACTCGTACAGCCCGTCCTCGGAGCCCGACTCGGATACTCCGCCGGGGCTCGGCGTGTCCCGGTCGCTGCTGCCGCCGCCGGTCGCCTCGGCCCTGGTGGCGGTTTCGGGCTCTGGCGCGCGAGCGGTGGCGGGCGCGGGCCGCGGTTTGTGCCAGCGGCGGTGCGAGGCCAGGTTGGCCGGGCAGCTGAAGACCTTGGCGCACTCGGGGCAGCGGTACTCCACGCGCACGATGCGCGAGCACTTGTGCTGCGCCAGCGCGAACGGGTCGGCGTACTCTTCCTTGCACAGCTGGCAGATGAACTCGCCCAGCGGCCGCGCCGCGCCCCCCGCTCGGCCCCGCGGCGCCTCCACGGGGCCCTCCTTGATCTTGAGCCCCAGCACCGGCGACGTGGTCACCTCGTCCTCGAAGTGCAGCTTGCGGATGGCTTTGGGCTTCTTGGCGCTTGGGGCCTTGGCTGCCTTGGCCGGAGGCTCAACAGCGACGGCGGCGGGGGGCGCGGGTCGCTTACCCGGGGGCCTCAGGGCGGCAGTAGGGGGCAATGAAGGACCCGGTCCGGGGCCCCGGCCCGCCTCGGCGCCTGTCGAGAACGCCGTACCCATCTTGAGCTCGGCGGGAGCGAAGAGCAGCGCGTCTCCGCCGCAGGTGCCGCTACCGCCCGCGCCGTTCGCACCGCCACCGCCGCCCCCTCCGAGCAGCGCGGCAGGCGTGGGGAAGGACTCGGCCGACACCGGCGAGCCGAGGTTGAAGCTGCGCTCGAAGTACTTGTGCTTCTCATGCTCGCGGCTCACCGGCCGCGTGGGGCTGTAGAGCGGCGCGGGGTGCGCGGCCTCGGGGTTGCCGAAGTGCGCGGCCCGCGGACCCGGCGGGGTTGGCGGCGGGCCCGGCGCGCAGGCGAGCGCGGCGGCGAGCGCCGCATGGGCGCGCTCCGCGGGCGGCGGCGGCGGCGGCGGCGGTGGTGGCGGCAGCGGCAGCGGTAGTGGCCCCGGCCCGGGGCATGGCACTGGAGGCTCGGCGCGGGCGCCCCCACAGCCCGGGGACAGCAGCAGCGCGCGGTCGCCGTCCTCGCCGCCGCGAACCCGGTAGGACACGGGCGTGGACTTCTTGCTGCGCTTCACCAGGAAGCCGCGGGGCATGTTGGCGCGGCGCGAGGGCAAGGCACTGACTCGATCCCACCTCCGCGCTCGGCCCGGCGGCCCTCAGCGACCCAAGCCCATTGCTCAGGCGCAGCAGCTACGGGACTTGCGTGGCCACGGCAGCGGCTGGCCCAGCTCTGCGCCCTGCACGCGCGTCCCTGTCCCCGGGCCCGGGAGCCGCTCCCTTTTAACGGGGGGAGGGGGCCATTGTTCTCGCCTCCCGCTTCCCCCGGAGCCAATCAGCGCGTCTGCAGCTCCTCCGCCCGGTGGGGTGGGAGGGCGATGGAGCGGCAAAAAAGGGGCCGGGACTCGGGGGTCGTCCGGTAGGTGCGGCAGATGTACCTGAGGGCGCGGGGCCCCAGCGCACGCCCCTCGGCCGCCCCGCCCGGCGCCGCCGCCCTGCCTGGTCCAGGCACACGCCCGGCCCCGCCTCCCTTCACGGTCTGCTGCTCCTCTATGGCGAGGCGCACGTGCCTGGGCTTTGTGTCTCTCCTCCGGGGGGCGCGGAGCAGCCAAATGGGCCCGTCCATCAGCACGACAATGTGCGCCCCCCTCCCGTGCTGGGATTACCCGCGGGTCGCGAGCAAAATAGCAACAAAGGAGAAGAATGGCCCCAAATATGTCAGGAGGGTTCAACCCGCGAGCCAAAGCCGAGGGGGAAGTTGTGCTGATTGGGTGGGGGCGGGGACGAGCCAAAGCCGGCGCCGGGGAAATCCGAGTGCTGCTGGTGGAGCGGGAGAAGGGTCCGACAAGGCGACGGAGCCCCTCGTGGAGTTTGGGAAATAATCGAGAAGAGAAAATAGCTGGAAAGTGCTGGTGGCAACGACAAGGCGACGGAGCCCCTCGTGGAGTTTGGGAAATAATCGAGAAGAGAAAATAGCTGGAAAGTGCTGGTGGCCAACAGCCTACCGCCCCCCCTTCTCCCTCCCCGCCTTGGACGTGTGGGACGCGGGACCCCGAGGTTCCCAGTGTAAACAGAATATCTGGCCTCCTGGCTGCAGCCAAGTATTTCATGTTTGGGGTTTCCCTCTGAAAATACCCTGGCGTGGAAATTAAACATAGTTTTTCAGTAGACTCCACATGAGTAATAAACTGTGATGAGGACAGTTATTAGAGATACTTAACCTAAGGGTTAACCAAGGGGAAAAATATTTGATGATTTCATGTTTGTGCTTTTTCTTTTAACCTACACACAGAAAAGAGAAGAAAACATATAATGGAATGAATATATATATTCAAAGGTCTCGCCCTCGTTTAAAAAATGCTGTGATGAATGCTAGTCCTTTTTTAAAAAGTTACAAATTCTAAAATGTATAAATATGTTTCGATCTAAAAGTAACTGGTGTTATTTTCCTGCTCTTTTGAGCGCTGATTAATACTGCTGATGAAATTAGAAGTGGAAAGGGATTCCGAGACAGCTTTGGCCAATTTTATTTTCTAATCACGAATCCCCATCTGGGTTGTGGAATAATAGGGCAGGGTGCTCGGCCCGCTCTCCCCAACTAACTGCAGGGCATTTAAGCTTGCATATGTAACTCTTTCATTCAACAGATAACAGGAGAAGTTTAGTGACCTAACTGATCCTTAAAAAATAACAACACCCATAATTGTAAGGCGAGTTGGGGGAAAACCCAGCACCACCACCAAAAAAAAAAAAAAAATCAATTCCAACAGGGCTTTGAATTTAGCCAAGGAAGTCTATTGAACGCTATTGAGATACTGAGATTTAGTGGGTCCGTTTCTTTTTATTTGTGGCTTCCAGTTTTGCCAGCGGAAATGAGATTTGCTTTCAGACGGGTACGGTCAAAATAAATGGAAACTTGAAAGACACAAGTATTTGACACTAATTTCATAACCCAGAGTTGAGGCAGAATTAGGCTGCGTGCTCGCACGCACACACCAGCAACATTCAAGCGGGTGCAGTCGTGCACCCGGTCGTGGATCTCCACAGCCTTCTGCGGGATTTTCTCAGAATCTGCGCGCTTCAGGGTTGGGGACATCAGGTCATGAAATTTGTCTTCCTCTGGGAAACCGGACTGAGCCCCCTCACCCCCGACCTGCGTTTGCGCACTGTGATGCCGAGTAGGAGCCGCGCGCAGTTGGGTTGGGGGAAACTGAGCGTAGATTTGCCCCCTTCAATGGGGGTTTCAAGGAAGTAGGTGAGTAGAAGGATCCAAGGCAGGCCACCTGAGGTGTCTTTCCCTGGCTCCAAGGAGGCTCCTCCGCTCCCTTTGGGATCCAGGCCACCGCTTTGGGAAAATCCTGGGGCCTCTTTGCGCTTCTTGTCCTTGCAGACCCTGATGTGGGTTCTTCCTCCGACGGCTGCGGAGCTGGACTCCACCTGCGCTCCAAGTTCTCCTGTCCAGGCGAGCGCCGGGGTTCACTGCGACCCCCCAGCCCGGCTCGGAATCAAAGTTAAGGCTCCAGGGAGTTTCTAGGAAGCACGAATCTTGGAAGTAAGCGCTAATGCCGGGAATTTCGCCCAAGGAAGTGGCTCCTTGGGTCTCTAGCAGTATGGGCAGCCCTGGAACTCACTGGAGAAGACCGGCGGGTCACCGCTCTCACCGCACCATGGGGAGCGCGTTTGTTAGTATCCCTTACGCCTTTCTGCTGCAGACCCTTCTGATTTAACGGAAACCCCCATCCACGGCCTCCTGGTCCCCAGGAGTCACTACCCAGGAACCCCGTGTTGCCGCCAGGGTGCCGGCCGCCAGGTCCTGGAAGGGGCCGCGCTCCTGTGCTCGGTGCGCTCCGGCCCCGAGCCGGGGACGGGCTTTGTGTTTGCAGGAATGAGGGGTTGCTGTGTCAGTCCCAGGGGCACGCGAGAGACACGCGCAGCCCGCCCGCCACCGCCCCGCCCGGCCCGTCCGGCCTCCAGGAACCTTCCGGGCCCCCCGCCCTCGGGCCGTTGCCTTTGTTCGGCACATTAGCATAAAGCTGCCATGGATCTCCCGTTTAAATAATTCCACACAAAAGGAGAGTGCATGAAAGGGAGCGAACAAGGGAGAATCCGCGAGGCTGCGCCGTCCGCCCGGCGCGGGGAGGGACCGCGTTCAAGTATTTCCCTCCCCTCGAGTTTCAAGTGCCCCCTGGCAATCTGCTGCGCGCCCATTATTCGGCCTGGGGCCGACGGGGTGGCTGGCCGCCTCTTTTATCCTCCCGAGTGTGCCGTCGGGGCACCGCACGCTCCTTGGAGTGCCCTCAGGGCTGTTTTGTTTTTTGCCTGGGTGGACTGTCAGGCCGGAGGGTGGAGAGTGGGCCGGGAGATTAGAATGGTGTATTGGCAAAAGCTGGCCTAGGCGAAGCCAGAAAGTGTGGGAAAGTCACAGCCAGAGAATTCTGTCAGGGAGAGCCAGGGATAGCACAACTGAATCCCGGTGACATTGATCATGGGAAGCAAAAGAGATCTGCGTCCACCTGCAAGGTGCCTGAACCGTCCCCCGTGCCTGTCTTAGAAAGTGAACCAACAAACCTGAGGAAAAGTGACCTGAAAGGCCGCAGCCATCTCGACACCCCCCGCACTCCCGCCATTTCCACCAGAAAGGCGCGCATTTTGCTTTCACCTTGGTTCCTGCCCTTGGTCTTAGGGTGCGCGTTCTTCCTACCACCACCAGCTCTCCTCCAATCCTCCCTCTCCTTCTGCTCCCATCCTCTGACCTCTGGTCTCATCCTCTCTCCCTCCTCTCCTTCATCTCCTCTGCCTCTCCCAGTCTTTCCTCCCTCCTCCCCTCCCGCTCTTCCCTTCCTTCTTCCCCCTCTTCCACCCTGTCCATCTCTCTCTCCCTCTTCGGTACTTGGCCCATTTTTTCCTCTCACTCACTTTCTGTCCCCTGTTTGTGTCACTACAGAGTTCTCTTCCTCACTTTCCATCCTCCAGCCCTTCTGACAGACTCTTCTTCTCTCCTCCTTTTCCTCCTGTCTCCCCTGTCATGCTCTCCTGTCCTTCTCCATCTCCACCCCTTCACCTCTCCACTCTCCTTCCTTTCTCTCTCTCCCCCACTCTTTCCCCCATCACTTTCTCCCCTCCCCCCTCCCCACAGGCCAACGTGTGTTATTTTATTTGTCTAGAGAGAGCCTATTTGTTCAGTGATGTGTGGCCTCCTGGTCGCCTGCTTTAATGGGGGACGCGGAGGCTTGGTTTCTGTGAGCATTAGCATACAGCTGCCCTGGCCTCCCCGCCCGTCTCCCGAGCCGCTTACTTTATCCGGCCTTATCATACACTATCTTCTTCAATCAGAATAAAATCAAGAGCTCCTCACGACAACGGCCACTTTCCAACCCCGTCGGTTCTCGGTGGGATGTGATGTGGCTAACCAGAAGTCACCTCCTACCAAGTGCGTTCTCTCTGACTCTCTCTCTCTCTCTCTCTCTGACTCTCACTCTCTCTCTCTCTCCTAAAGGGTAAATTGATTGGCTGCTTTTTACCCCCCATACAGTGTTTTCTTCCCTTTCTCACTTCATCTCTTATTTTCCTGTGGCATTTGGGTGTAATAAACCATAAGGAGCCATTTTGGGGAAGGAGGTGGCTACACTTTTTACTTAAAAATCTGACATCTGTCAGGAGATCATTAGAGGCAGCCATGAAGCAGGGTTACTGCATGTGCTTTGGGGAAATAAAACCTTGCAAAATTAACTTCAGTATTTTCTTGTCAATATTCTTTGCTAAAAACTATGGAATTTTAAGATCAGGTGGAGAGCGTAAGACATCCCCAGTTCAACACTGAATTCTTAAAACACAGGGATTTAGGTGATCATTCTCCCGACCTTAGGGAGTATGACTCGCCACTCAGAAGTCCAAACATTGGTCTCTTTGAAGCCCTCTCACCTGCCAGGCTTTACCCATCAAGCTCATTCTTTGCAGCCATTTCACAGCAATTCTGGATACTGTTGATTTCACTTATTCTTAGTAAATTTATTCTTCAGTGATAAAGCTCTGAGCTCTGCCCATACATGCTAAAATTCTTAGATTCAGGAAATTACTTTGTAAGAATAGGACAAAG